GCATAGTTAAAACACCTGGTTTAACAAACGAATTTGTTAATCACAAACACATAATAAGCTAGTATAGGGTACATGCTTGCATATTTTCTCACGTGCTGATTAGCCATTATACCTAACGAGGGATTTCCAATTTGGGGAAATAAAAGTCCAGAATCAGCAATTCTATACATAGTTATATATCCTGTCCCCCAATAAGAAATTGTGTATAGTCATTAGAGTATAGTTTTATTGCACTCAATATTCTTTTTTTCTGAAATAATGTTATAATTGTTGATAATAGCAACTTATCCTCTTGTAGGTATTTATAAATTTTCACAGTGTTTTTAATTATTATTATTATTATTATTATTATTATTATTTTTTACAACAGATAGATGCAGCAGGATTTGCCTTCCTGATTGTACTGAAGGGAAATTAGGAGGCTTATCTATAAAGAGTCTAAATGAGTTTGCTTGGGACACCGAGGGCACTTTGCAGGGGACTGCACTGATTTTTACTCGTAGGAATCTCCTTCTAGCAAAATAAATTGCATAGATGCTGGCATGTTCCTTTCTAGTCTTTATGTGCTCCTTCTTTGGAATCTTTATGTCGAACTCCCTAGACATACACTGGTTGTACAGATCAGAATGAAAATGATTAAAATAGAGATACAAGTTTTATAGAAGTGGCTTTCTTCACTCCATTATAATTGTTTTGGAGAACTCATATATTAAAGCACTTTGTTTGTTTGTTGGTTTTGAGACAGAGTCTCACTGTGATGCCCAGGCTGGAGTGCAATGGCATGATCTCAGCTTGCTGCAACCTCCTCCTCCTGGGTTCAAGTGATTCTCCTGCCTTGGCCTCCCAAGTAACTGGGACTGCAGGCATGCGCCACCATGCCTGGCTAATTTTTGTATTTTTAGTAGAGACAGGGTTTCACCATATTGGCCAGGCTGGTCTCGAACTCATGACTTCAGGTGATCTGCCCACCTCAGCCTCCCAGAATGCTGGAATTACAGGTGTGAGCCACTGCACCCGGCTGATATTAAAGCATTTGTACCCACAAGACTAAACCAAATAATAACTTTTTGAGCCTTATAGAAATCTAAGTCAAGGGAGTAGTGATGAGAATCTTAAAAGCCCACAATTGTTCTTTTAAATACTGAAATTGCTATTCATAAGACTTGAGTGAACAAAGAAAGGATAATTTAGGAATAGGAGGTGTTTTCAAATCCAGGGACCAGAATATTTATAATCATACTCACTGATTGTGAAACAGAGGGCAGATATACATTCACTTATACTTTCAGTGGGTTCGTTCCATAGCAAGCTTCAGTCCAACTGCAGAGTTTCACTATTCAGGGGAAATAGTGAAATTCCCTTCCTTCAATGCCTCCATTCACATTTGTGGCTGGTCAGTGAGATACAGTTATCAAACCACCTGTGGGAGAAGCCAGTCTATCCAGTCAACACTCTTCTCAGGAGCCCTGCAAGGAGCTTGCTTAAATAGGTGCCACTGGAATTGTGAACAGTATAGGGCTGGATAGCTCTGTGGATTGGAAACTTGTGCAGATGAGATCAAGCGCACCAGTTGGCTCCCTCTATGGGCTACCCAGTTCCACTGTGGCCCCAATTGATCTGTAGCCTGCACCTTTGTCAGCTGCATCACAGATGTATTCATTCATTCAGCCATTCAGCGTTTGCCAAATATGTATGGAGAGTCTACATACAAGGGGCTGTGGAAGTATGGCATGTGATTGCAAACTCCTGATGACAGAAATCTGACTTGTGTGCATTACTTTTAATGGCACTTGGCAAATTCAGTTATATGTGACCTTTCATCTCTTCTTGCCCTTTTGTGACTTTCTGACACCTCTAAGCTCTTCCCTCTTAATGTCAGTGTTCAATCCCTCCATGTTGACTGATCACCTGACTTTTCAGGCCTCTTACCTCAGCCTGTACTTCTTAGTTGCTTCCCTAGTCCCAAATCTAAAAATAAATGTGCTATATCCTTTTCTAGCTCTTTTTTTTCCCACTCTTGGATTATTAAGAATAGCAATCCAATAAAAAATAATCATACCAACTTGTTGGAATCTAGTAGGGATCTAATACTCTAATTTAGGTTTAAGGCTACAATGCCTTAACTCATGGAAATGGATTTCTACTGATGAAAGTGTAGAGTGAGAAAATATTTGGTGGCACACAGGCATTCATAGATCCGTGTTAGCATACCTCTGGTCCATTTTAATGGGAAAATTCCCTGAGATCTCTTGAAATATCTTCTGTTGTAACCTTACACTGCAAATACTAAGGGAAAAGAATAAATGGGGATAACGTTTAGAAAACACTTTCTCCATTATTGTATTTCTGTTTGGCTATTGACTACCTTATAACTAAATACTCCCTCTCTGATACCTAAGGCAAGGGAACAGAAGAACAGAGACCATAAATCTATTAAGTCAAATACATATTGCTCACATGGCCTTTAAAGGGAAATGAATTATCAGTGTACTCTCCAGGTCTGCATGATAAAACTAATTGTAATGGCAATTAAATGTATTACACTGCCATTGAGCATGCTTGCTGTGACTCTGGAGCAGATACATTGATTACCTTCGGTACTTACCATGTCCCATCACTAATGGGCCAAAGCAGACTGTTAACATTGTAAAGGTGTAGGATTACGCAATAGATCACTTAGAAGAGATAACTAAAGAGATTTGGGAAGCAAACTGAAATAGCATTTCAATTTTTTTTCTATCAAGTAGGTAATGATAGAGTTTGATGCTATTTTGCAAAGCCAAATTTGTTAATTCAAAATATTTGCTGTGCATCTTAGGATTAGGGGAAAACAAAAACTGAAAAACAGTTTTTAAAAATATTCCCATGGGGTTTATTTTGTTTCTATTAACCAACTTTTGAAAAACAAGCTATGAGAAAACATATATTTTCTAACAAATATTTATATCATTACCTCTCAGTTGTTTCAATGCATGCAAAGAGTATCACAGATAATTTATAAAAAGAATAATATAAAATCCATTTAAAGATGATAAAACTATAAATATTAAAGTTGTATTTGATCCAGAGGTGTATCACTAGTAATTTATAACAACCCAGAAGGTTCAACAAATTCAAGTTTCCTTCTTTTCCTTCTTGAAAGTTTTGTAGTGACAAATGACAGGTAAACAATCCAATAGCAAGGACTGAATTAAAAAGACCCCTAAGAGACAGCCAGTGATCAGTACATATTTAGTCCAAACCACTGTACCTTCTTGGCTTTAACAGTGTACAACAATCATCAGAATCCATAGTGATGAATCTGATACCTCTGAATCCTCGAAGAAAGTTTAGATGCCCTTCACTATCAATTTAAAGGGAGTTATTTATTTGTTTGTTTGTTTATTTCTAATGAATACCTCACATACTATAAGAGGAGTTGAGGCAGTGTGTAATAACAGCCCACGTGCAGCAGGCCAGTGAAAGCCAAAGTCAGAAAGAGAGATCAGAAATCAGAGTTCAAAATCTTTCTTGGGCCATAGACCCCTTTGAAAATCTGAAAGTAAAAAGAGCTATGGAAAATTTCCCCAGAAAAGTATACCTGTGTAAACAGGCACATTGCTTTGCCAACAACCTTGAAGCCCAGGCAGGTATCCTCCCACTGGGTGTCCTTGAACCCTAGTTCAAGAACCCCTCATATAGAGAAAGTGAAATCCTGAGGTAAGATAGTTATTACACTTGAACATTGCATTTAGCTCTGAGCTTCCTGTCAACTGAGGTTAAAAGATTAAACACGCTGGGTTAGAGTTCTCAACATCTAAAAAAGGAAGCAGATCAGTTCAAAAAATCATAAGTGAAACATATAATTTTAAAATGGCAATGTTTATACATTTATCTGAGATGATTGTTTTTTAAAGGGTAATCAAGAAAAATGAAGGGATATAGCGTAATTTGATGAATTTTTTTTGAAAATAAGAGATTGGAAATAAAATAGCTATGCTAATTATATTGACCAGCATATGAGATTGGCCACAGCATTTCATTTTTAATCCTTCTGGAAAATAAGGAATTTACTGTACATGTCTTTCTTAAATGGTAGATTTACCTACCTAATATTATTTCATTACAGCTGACAGTAATATAATATATTCCCATGAGCACTCAGCAGCTAAGCAGAAAGGGAGGCCTTAGGGTATAAAGAGAAATTGACCTATAGTTAAATGTACGCTATTAATAGGTCATACCATGGAAAACTAGCATGTATATAACAGCAAATAATTACTGTAGGTGCCTACTGCTTTCAACTAGAGCATTTACTTTCTCAAAGGCAAATAATAGCACAATTGTTATTGTCACAATTATAGGCATAGGCAGTATAGGGTAGGGGTTAAGAACACAATCTGGAATCAGAGACTGGTTTTCCACCACTTATTGGCTGTGTGACCTTGGGCAAAGTCATTTAACTTCTTTTGTTTCAGTGTCTTCACTTGTAAAATAATAAGAAAAGCATTCATCTCAGGACCACTTCTAGGCTGTGTAGAGGTCTCTTGGAAATAAGTGTTTTGTGGGGCTCCTGTCTATATAAACAATTTGAGTCACCTAAAACCAATATGTCAGCGTCATTCTAGTAGTCCAATTTCACAGGCTAATGTGATGGAAATACTGCAAGGCTAGTAGAAGCAAACAACTTGCCTGGCCACTCTGCTGGAATTAGGACCTGGCCATGGTGCCACAGGACAACCCTATAGGCACGAGTTCTGAAGCTCCTTGAAGAATCTGGTCTATCCCAAGCAGAAGGTGGCTGCAGAAGATTGGAAGATACCCCAAAGGCACAAGGCTGGAGCAGGGACTGTGCTTACTAATGTTTAAGCAGGATACAAGTCTATCTTATAGGGTCACTGGGAAGATTGAATGAAGTAATCTATGAGGAGCACTTAGGATATGTTGGTGATGATTACTGCTCACACTATTATTGTCAACAATGCTCACTGTGTCTTACGCCTCTTCTGATTTTCTTTCAGTGGATGGCTGCATTGATTGGTCAGTGGATCTCAAGACATACATGGCTTTGGCAGGTGAACCAGTCCGAGTGAAATGTGCCCTTTTCTACAGTTATATTCGTACCAACTATAGCACGGCTCAGAGCACTGGGCTCAGGCTTATGTGGTACAAAAACAAAGGTGATTTGGAAGAGCCCATCATCTTTTCAGAGGTCAGGATGAGTAAAGAGGAAGATTCAATATGGTTTCACTCAGCTGAGGCACAAGACAGTGGATTCTACACTTGTGTTTTAAGGTGAGTGTTGTGTGAAAACATTGTCCAATTACATGGCTGATAGTCTTTTGAGTGGGACTTGAGTACATATAGGTATGCCTCATGTTGTATAATGGATATGTTCTTGAAAGGTTGCAGTACATGTGGAGCTTCAGTAAATTCCAGTTCTAATTATCTGTCAGAACTACATAGCAAATTCCTATTAGATTTTCATAAAGTAGAATTCCCATTTACTGTGTGTGCTTATTTAATTTAGAACATTTTGTGACTCGGGCCGGGCGCAGTGGCTCACGCCTGTAATCCCAGCACTTTGGGAGTCCGAGGCGGGTGGATTACCTGAGGTCAGGAGTTTGAGACCAGCCTGACCAATATGGTGAAACCCTGTCTCTATTAAAAATACAAAAATTAGCTGAGCATGGTGGCGGGTGCCTGTTGTCCCAGCTACTCAGGAGGCTGAGGCAGGAGAATTGCTTGAACCCGGGAGGCAGAGGTTGCAGTGAGCCGAGATCGTGCCACTACACTCCAGCCTGGGCAACAGAGCGAGATTCTATCTCGAAAAATTTAAAAAAAAAAGAAAAATTTCTGACTCATTTCTTCCCTCACCCCACCCCTGCCCCAGGGTCTTATATTAACAATTAGTTTTACATACAGCTAGTTGACTCAATTATCTTGATATCTGGTCATGAAAATGATCTAAAATATCATTTTAGCCATGATCTTGCCTTTCTTGTTGATGAAAAATAGTTTCAAATGCTTCTGGGAGATTTCTCAGCAAATGTACTGCTGGTGAAATCCTTCATAGATTTTGCAATGCGAGTTTGAGTCCACTGTGTCTAAATAATCAACATGGAGCTCTGTAAATACACAGTCATCCTGAGTTTCTGGGTACTATAGTGGGAAGATATCACAGACACAATTCTTGCTTGCAAGAAGTTTACAGTAAAAAGCGTACGTTTTTCCCTTAGGGATTCTCCCTTCCCCCTCTACCCCAGTGATAGAATCTAGGTTCTAGCATCTAGCATCTCAAATAGAGACTGGATTAGGTATTTAAGTAGGTAGCTGAGATGACCTTTAAGCCACCTTTCCATTCTGCAATTTTGGGAGTCTTTGATCTTGCTCACCAGGGACCTGTACTCTACTATTTGATTTTAACTCCTTGGAAATGCAGACCTTTCCTATTTTTGTGTCCTGTGAACTTTGATGCCAAAGCTATGTCACTTCCTCATCAAAAGCACTTGGAAGCCCCTGGCGAAGCCTCATTGTTCAAAAGGCCGGGAGAACAAGGTGGTATATAAATAGAGAGCCTTCTGGATGCTCTAAGAATCACTTTTGTGTGCAGGGTAAAAAAGTGGAGTGACGGGGGAGCAAATGGTGAGTTTAGTCTGTTTGTGGTGGGCAAAATCTCCAGGATCTTGGAAGAACAGCAATCATTCTGATCACACCCTTAGTGTTAAGCAATATTTTCTCTTACTTGGGCAGCTCTTGGCAAAATTGAGAAGTAGATGTAATTCAGCTTTAGTGACTGACACTATATTCTCTAGAGTGCTGCTACTCTTTCCTTGCTTATCTCCTCTCTGCTTGTCTCATCTCCATCCCCCACTGTCATTAAAAACCCACCAATCAAAATTATCTCTTTTCTCCTCCCACTACACCATTTGCTTTTTGTTTGTTGTTTTCACAAATTTAAAGTTTTATTTGCAAAGCATCAGTCAACTATGTACAGGTGCTAAGCTTACAATGAATTATTAAACAAATTGTTGCTACTTCCCCAGGTCTGTTAATGTCTTCAGTCTTGTTACCTCCCCTCTTTTCCCTTCTCTGCTCTAAACCCATTCCCTTACTCCTAGCAATATTAACAACTTAGTATGTATCCCTACATGCATTTCCCCTACTGTTTTAATTATACAAACATACTGACATGGGTATTTTCTCCTCATTGTTTTACAAAATGAAAAGAGGGTTATAGATTTCTCTGCATTTTCTTTGCTTAGTAAAAATACATGGTATAAATTTCTCCAAGTCAATTGATAGAGAGCTTTTTTTTTTTAACTTTTATTTTAGGTTCAAGGGTATATGTGCAGGTTTGTTATACAGGTAAACTGCATGTCATGGGGATTTGGTGTACAGATTATTTTGTCACCCAGGTAGTAAGCATAGTACCTGATAGGTAGTTTTTTTATTCTCTCCCTCCTCCCCCTCTCCACCATCAAGGAGGCCACTGTGTCTGTTGTTTCCTTCTTTGTACCTATGTGTTCTCATTGTTTCACTCCAACTTATAAGTGAGAACATGCAATATTTGGCTTCCTATTCCTTATTTTACTAAGGATAATGGCCATCCACATTGCTACAGAGGGCATTCATATTTACAGCTGCATAGTATTCCATGGTGTATATATATGTACCACATTTTCTTTATCCTGTCTACCATTGATAGGCATTTAGGTTGATTCCATGCTTTTACTATTGTGAATAGAGCTTCAATGAATATATATGTACATGTGTCTTTATGGTAGACTGATTTATATTCCTTTGGGTATATACCTAATAATGGCATTGCTGGGTTGAAGGGTTAAATATATAATATTGTATGTTGCTTAATATTTTATGAAGCCACAGTTCAGTCAATCATTTCTGTATTGATGAGTATACACTGTTTCCAGTATTTTGTCCCTACAAAAGGTGCTGTAATAAAAATCCACTATTTGCTTTTCAATGAACTTTAAGAAGTCTTCGATTTACATAATTATGGCAAAGATAATGTAGAGCTCCTGTACACTTTATATCCAGCTTTCCCATTTTATTAACATCTTACATGACTGTAGTACCTTTGTTACAATTAATGAACCAATAGTAGTACATTATTATTAGCTAAAGTCCATATATTCTTCACATTTCTTCAGTTTTTCCTTAATGCCTCTTTTTCTATTTCAGTATCCCATCTCTGGTAGCACATTGTATTTGGTTGTCATGTCTCCTTAAGCTCTTCTTGGCTGCATCAGTTCCTCAGACTTTCCTCATTTTTGATTACCTTGACAGTTTGAGGTGTACTGGTCAGATAATTTGTAGAATGGTCCTCAACTGGGATTTATCTGGATATTTTTCTCATGGTTAGACTGGGGTAATATGTTTTGAGGAGGAAGATTACAAAGGTAAAATACCATCCTCATCACGTTGTATCAAGGGTATAAAGTATCAATATGACTCATAACTGTTGATGTTGACTTTGATCACCTGGCTTGAGGTAGTGTTTATAATTTTTCTCTGTAAACTTATTCTTTCTTTTTCTTCCTTTCCATACTGTAGTCTTTGGAAGAAAGTTATTATTCACAGTCCACACTTAAGAAGAAATATCTACATAAATTATTTCAAATTCTTCTGCATGGAAATTTGTCTCTCCCCTTCCCAACTTATTTATGCGTTCCATCATTTATTTATATCAGTATGGACTCATTAATATTTATATTATACACCGACTTGTAATGCAATTCTACTTAATTTTCTCGCTCAAATTCTTCCACCTTTGCCCACAGGAAGCTCTTTCAGTTGGCTCATTTGTCCCTTTGATATAACTCTATCATCATGGAGTGGTGGTTGTATTTTTTATTTTTTATTTTTTTGGCATTTCCTTACATTGTAGAAAGATGCTCCAGGTTTATCTTATATATTTTGTGCCCCAGTTCTAGAATTAGCCATTTTTTCCAAGGAGTCCTGTTTTTCTAATGAATAATTGCATTAGAAACCTAGATTTGGTTGCTAGGTATGCTCATTGCTACTGGGGTGTTGTTGCTTCTGAGTCCTCTCAGCTGACAGTCTATTTGCTTTTAAACAAAGCCATAGATTGTGAAGGAGTACTTTAGGGATAGTGGAACTTCCCAAGGTCCCTGAAGTCCTTTCCTATAGGTGACCCTCTCTTTAAAGTACATTTCAGATTTGCCATTTTTACGTGTATTTTGGATACCATCTGAGTCAGAGGTTCTCAACTCATATCTAGACCAATAGAAGATAAAAGAATTCCACTAAGATTCAAATATAACTGGTGACTTTTTAACTTTTGTGCAGCAAGCCTTAGGGAGCTATTGGGACTGATAGAGATAGGTGGAACTGTTGAATATAATCTCCCATGTGTGCCTTAGTAAGGAAAAAAATATTTGGAAATCACTATTCTAACAGAATCAACCAGTCTTTTGTCAACTCAGAGATACATAAATCTATTCCAGGTATATAAGTGAAATAGCATCTGTCTGTAAATAATGAACCTGTTTTTCATATCTAGTAGTGGCCACTGACTTCTACTATGTGCCAGGTGAGAAATTCAGTCCATATAGGTGATTTTATGCAATTGCCAAGAGTGACATTTATAGTGAAAAGGGCTCTTAATTTGACAATGTCAGTATTCACCTAAAATCTCCAGTTTGATACCACTTGAAGGTAATCAAGGATGACTTTTCTATGTTTTATTGATCTCATTAAAAGTTACTCTACTGATGTCATTGTGATTAAAAGTGAAGATATGAAATATTTAGTAATATTCTCCACCCATTTGAATGACAGCAAGAAAAATTTACTGTTTGTGACCTTTCAGTAGCCAATTGGCTACTGAATAATTTTTAAATTTTTCTTTGGCCAGTCTCAAGAGTGATTAGTTGAATTTCCCAGCATAATAATGGTCTGGTAATATGAGAATAGTAGAGGATTAAGTCATATTTTGAGAGACAATGCCAATCCAAGAATTACACCAGTATTTGCAATGGAAGCATGAATTAATAGGATAAAAATGATGAGGGTAATCTTATTTGACAAAATCTCACATATCATTTTCTCAACAACTTGGAACAAGGGGTGACTTAAGCTGTGAATGAAGATAGATATAGTCATATAATCCTGCATTGAATTCACAGATATTGAAAAGAACAATTGGCTGGGTGTGGTGGCTTGTGCCTGTAATCCCAGCACTTTGGGAGGCCGAGGCAGGTGGATCACATGAGGCCAGGAGTTCAAGCCCAGCCTGCCAATATGGTGAA